CAATCCTAATTCACTAACAGTTAAAACACACTCTGGTCCACATACCTGAACTAAACTATGTAGTTATCAAGGCTTTTCTTTTTTCCCCTGCAGGATGCCCCACCTATTCATATCACACACCCTCTTCCTTCAAACTGGCTTAAAGAAGGGGCTCTGCGTGTTAGAGCTCAGTTCAAGCTCACAAATCTTCACAAAGCTTTGTGAAGGGGGCTACTTAAAGAGGGAGAAGTTTGACTGAGCTACAGCTAGTGCAAAAAGTGCAGAAAGCAAGAAAGGAAGGAAAGAACAGCATGATCCTTGACCTCTTAAAGAAGGCAGAGTAATGAAAAAAGCGAGGAGAAAAAAAATCCCAAGACAACGGTAACATGAAACGAATTATAACAGTAGAAGACTAGAACATCTCTCCCACTATAGGCTGCTCCAATTAACATCATTTATGGCATTGCAGTAGCCAAATTTCAAGCTCCACTTAACAGAACCTTTTCTGGAGCCACAAAACTACCTTCTTTCAGAAGCAGAGGCTGTGAATTTATATGTCTGACTGCTGTTGACACACAGGGTCTTAAGAGTGCCTATTAAGAGTGGTAGCAAAAGAAAATGACCAGTTGTAAGCATGATTTCTTTTCCACCCAGACAACTCTCTAGTTATGAATGGATGATTCTAAAAGCACATCTGTGTCCAACAAAATTCAGTCACCGAGGAAATCAGTGCAAAGCCTTTTTTTTTTTTTTTCTCCCAGGGTATACAATACATAAAGATGCTAAACAGTCTCTGCAACTCCAGGATGCACGAACACCCACATAGAGCAGTTCAACCAAAGCTGAGTGGCTGGGAATAACACAACCTCCATTCAAATGCCAGCCCAGAATCTGTCTGCCCAAGAAACTAAAACAATCCCCTCCACAAGCAAGGTATGCACATGGGGATGACAGATCTGCTAATGTGCTGAGGGTAGCAGGTATGTGTTCCAGTCAAAGACAGCTCAGAGCAAGTCTACTAGAAAGGAGCATGGACCAAGAGCATACTGTGGGACACAGTAATAGCTGAACTATTCTGAACAGCAGCCAGAGGAGAACTGTGTTTAAAAGAAAGCCCCCCAAACCAAAAACCTTCTCCACAACACTGTCAGAAACAATCTAACAGGAAAGTCACTTTGGTATCAGGAGCCTCAAAAGGCCAAGAATGCTGATACAAATTCTGAAGGAGGAAAACTACTACAAAAAGTCTGAAAGAATGGTATTTTGGAGATCTGTTTTTCTTTTTCTCTCTGAAAGTCTGCCCAACAGGTGGGTTTCTAAACTGCTTATGTAAATATTTTAAATATATTAACTGCAGGCCCAGATTACTAATCACTTATCTTTGTCTTAAAACTCATTCAAAGTTTACTTCACTGTTTGTTAACTAATTGTGCTATGGTTTTAAAGAAACCACTTAATATAGCACTGAAGTTTGCTGGAAGTATGTTCCATCCTCCATGGTATTCAGAAATTCATCACATAAAATCAGTTTCTGTAAGTAAACACCACCAATTTATTCAGCAACAATAACTGTAAAATGTTTCATTAGCAAATCAAAACTGTTACTTGAAATATATTTCAAGTAACCTGTGATTCTACACAGCACTTACAGGACAATGAAGGGATCGGGCCCAGCCAACATGGGCTTGTGAAAGGCAGGTCCTGCTTGACCAACCCAATCTCCCTCTGACAGGGTGACTCATTTAGTGGGTGAGAGAAGGGCTGTGGGTATTGTCTACCTGAACTTTAATGATGCCTTTGACACTGCTTCCTACAGCACTGTCCTGGAGACACTGGCTGCTCGTGGCTCGGATGGGGGCATGTTCGCTGGCTCACAAGGTGAAGTGCTGGCTCCTGCCCTTCTGCCACAACAGCCCCATTCAGCACTACAGGACTGGGGGAGAGAGACTGGAAAGCATCACAGCGGGAAACAACCTGGGGCAACAGAGGCTGAACATGAGCCAACAGTGTGCCCAGGTGGCCAAGGCCACTGCCATCCTGACTTGTATCACAACAGTGTGGCCAGGGAAGTGATTGTTCCCCTGTACTCGGCACTGGTGAGGCTGCACCTCAATTCCCGCTCCCAGTTTTTGGGCCCCTCACTTCAAGATGGACACTGAGGTGCTGGAGTGTGTTCAGAGAGGGGCAGTGGAGCTGATGGAGGGTCTGCAGCACAAGTCTCATGAGGAGCAGCTGGGGGAGCTGGGGTTGTTCAGCCCAGAGAAAAGGAGGCTCAAGGTGACCTACAACTCTCGACAACCACCTGAAAGGAGGCTGCAGGCAACAAGTGACAGGATGAGAGGAAATGGCCCGAAGTTACTCCAGGACAGGTTTAGATTGGGTAGTACGAAGTACTTCACAATGCCAAGCACTGGAACAGGCTGCCCTGGGAACTGGTCGAATTGCCATCCCTGGAGGTATCTAAAAGATGTGTAGAGGTGGCACTTAGGGACGTGGTTCAGTGGTGAACACAGCGGTGCTGGGTTACCCGTTGGACTTGATGATATTCCAACTTAGACAATTCTGTGATTCTGTATTTCCCCAGTATTGCCCAGTTCATTCAAACTCTCAGTAAACAAAAGGTAAAGACTAAAGTAAGACAACTATTTTAATAAACAGAACAATTCATTCACTGCTTCTACGCTAAGAAACCTTGACCTAAAGAGCCCCTTAGGATAATAACCTCCATGGAGAGTATTTTAAACCTGCTAGGATCAGTTGCAAACAAGTACAGAAAAACAGGTTTGGTCACTGCTTTGCACTTCTGCATAGAAAGAACAGCATTTTCCATACTATCTCTTTCTATATCTGTTCTATTTCAAACTCTCACTCTGTACTGCTGTCTGTAGCTGTCTTTAGCAACAGAAACATGCAATTATTATTTGTTACATTTATCTGTGTAACACTGTGGCTCATGAGCAGAACTTTCACAAGCTCTCCATCAAGAAAGCCATTTTTAGTAAGCTTTTTTCTGTAGATAGTCATGTAGTGCTAGACTGGGGAACCAGATGTTAATTTAAATCAAATCTAGAATATTTTATTTCACCTTAATCTGTTAGCCTTGGTTTTGGGTTTTTTGTTGTGGTTTTGTTGGGGTTTTTTTCCCCAGCACAGAAATGCAAAAGTTTCTAAAAGGAAAATTGTAATATATTTTAATATTATTTTCAATTTGACATGAAAACTAAACTCAACAGACGTAAAGTTAAATATGTCAACTCTGTCAAACCAGCTGCATTATGAATTCATCTTGGCCATAAAGGCCTCACAGATCAATTTCAACCAGATTTTACACCAGGGATTTCCCCCCGCTCCCTAAAACAATGATGACATGAGAAAAGACCAGAGCAGCAACTGAGCTAAGCTAATATTTTACAAATCGTGTATTTTTTTCTTGGGACTTGCATTTTTACTGCTAGGCCAGTCACAGAGGCATCATCAGCAAATAACTTCTTGGTATTACAGGGCTACAACAAGCAGGTGGCATCAATGGAACAGGATCACCATTCTAAGTAAGTGAACGCCAGCAATACCAGAAAAATAAATGCCATGGAAGCATGCTGGATGGAACTGCAAGCACAGATCAATTCACCAAACAAAGAAAACCAGCGGGAAAACACCTAAGAGCAAAAATTGGCACGAGAAACTTCGCCACAACAACCTTACAAGGGCTCCGGGGGGGGAAAAAAAATGGAAAAAAACCAGGATTCACGATCATTTTCATCAGCATTTGAGGCACATCGGACTTACTGACCAGTACCAAGTCCAAATGCATATCTCTGCCTACAGACGGGACCCTGCACCGCCTGCTCTGTTCCTCGGGCAGATCTGCTGCCAGGCCCCGTCACATTTTGAGCTCCCGGGCTGCACTACACGGACCAGAGACACTTCAGCTGGTCACTTTCCACAGCAGCAGCGCTGGCAGTCCCTGAGCGCCCCGTGCAGCTCACCCCGAGCCCGCTCACCCCGAGCCCGCTCACCCCGAGCCCGCTCAGCCCGAGCCTGCTCACCCCGAGCCTGCTCACCCTGAGCCCGCTCACCCCGAGCCCGCTCACCCCGAGCCCGCTCACCCCGAGCCCGCTCACCCCGAGCCCGCTCACCCCGAGCCCGCACGGTGTGCGGGGCCGGGCGGTCCTGCCGGGGATGCCCGCGGGCAGCACAGCACCCTCAACAGGCACCCGCCCTGTCCGCGCCCAGCCATCGCCCCTCCACACACGCACACACACACACAGCGCTGTTTAGCCACGATTATTTATGCAGCCTTCCATATTAACTTTTATAAGCCAAGTTCTGCTGCAAGCGACTTTGACATAAACCTAGAACAGTAACTAGCTGCAGTCAAGGAACTCTGTTTTCACGTCGACCTGGTAGCTAATGGGGGAATGCGATGCTAAGTAAACAACTCCTCCCCAGATTAAAAAAAAAGAAAAAAAAAAAAAAAAAAAAAGGAAAACCCACCAAACACACACCTAAACCCAAGCCCCGGCAGCCTGGAGCCAAGCCTCTCAGCGCGGGGCGCCCCGCCCGGGCTCCGCTTCGCCTCCGCCGCCTTTCTTCCGGCCTTTTTTTTTTTTTTTTCTTTCTTTTTTCACCTCGTCCTCTCCCTGCTCTTTCTCATTTTCCTCTCCCCCTCCAGCGCTCCCCCCGCCGGACGCCGTCCCACACGCGGGACCACACACGGGGCCTGCCCCGCCCGCCGCGGCCCGGCGCACTCCAAAATGGCGGAGGGGGCGCCTGCCGGCAGCGCGGCCTGTGCCCGCGGATGGCGGGGCGCGGGGACCCGCCGCCCGCAGCTTCCCCGCACTGCGAGGCGGGATGCGGGCGAGATGCGGGCGGGCGCGGACGGGCTGTGCCGCCGCCCCGCCGCCCCGAGCGCGGCCCGGTCGCCGCGGCCCCCCGCGGGCCGACAAGTGGTAGGTGCCGCCCGCGGCCGCGCGGCCCGGCGCAGCGCCCGCCCCCGGCCCGGATCCGCTCCCCGCGCTTACCTTCCACCCACAGCTCCTCCACGTTGGTCTCCAGGTTGGCCGCCCGTAATCCTACAGCGAAAGCCCCAAATATCAGGAGGCCGACCACCAAAAACTTCCCGCAGTTTTTCTGAATGTAACAGCCCAGTTTAAACAACAGTCTCTGAAACTTTGCTCGCAGCCACAGCGGCGCTTTCCGTCCCGTCGCCTTCCCCTGCAAGGCAAGAAGAGGTCAGTAGTTGGGGGGCTGCGGCAGCCGCCAGAAGCGGGGGGAGCACCCCCAGCCCTCCCACGAGCGGGACAGCTCGTGCCCCTCGGGGCGCGGTCCCCGGGATGAAGGATGGAGTGCAGTGCATCAGCTCAAGCATCCTTCCAGCAGGGCCTTTGCCCCACAGCCCTGCCGAGCAGACACCCTCGGGCACATATGTAGGGACAAGATGTACCTGCTGGCAGCCATCCTTGCCCCACACCGACACCCGGGTTTGGGTGTGACAACACTGCTTCAGACCCCCGGGCCCTACCCTGTGCTGCCCACCACCACACTCTTCTCGTGCCCGAGGCGCCGCCAGCAGCTCAGGCTGCAAAGCATTCTCGCTGGCAGGACCCGTGGTTCCAGGGCAGAAGGAACCACTTCCGACGAACTTCTACAGCCACAAGAAAGAGAAGTCCCTTTTCCTGTTCTCCTTAGACCCCAGAAAGGCGGCGAGGAGGGAGGGGGAAGGGGAGGGAGGGAGGAGAGGGGAATTGTGTGACAGACTGCTAGTGGGCAGCAGTGGCCGTTTCCCCCATTCCCAGTTCCTAGCAGGGATTTGGTGCTGAGGCAGGACCCACGTGGTGAGCAGCGCTGTAAGGTCTGCAGTAATTCATTTCCATAGAGTTTGGAGACGCTGTGTGATCTGAATTAGGAAGTAGAGCAGCCATCTGTAAGTTACGACAATATTTGTGAACGGAAGAGGGCAGCCACATGGGTTTTTTTTTTTTTTTTCCTCCTCCTTTCCCTCTTCTTACAAAGCCTAGAAATCCGCTCCCTGAAGTGAAACCATCCCTGCAGCAATGCAGCTTTTGGAGATTGTTTACTTTGAACATTTTTTGGCCGGCGGAGATTGGCGGACGGGGCCGTCCCCCCGCCCCGCCCGGGCCGGCACCTCCAGCCCTCCGCGGGGACCGGCGCGGCAGGGTAAAGGTGGCAATTTGTTTACGGCCCTTGCTCCCCCTCCGATCGTGGGGCAGGGGAGAAAACCGCTGCCTTCTCTGCTGGGGGACCCCCCTCTCTCCGAAGGCAGTCGCCGTGTCAGCGCTCGGCGGAAAACTTCACAAAAGCCCAACTTCTGCCAAGAAACCGGCCGGCCAGGAGCGAGCGTTGCCGAGGTCGCAGGGAGCTACGAGGGGCTGGAGAGGCGGAAAGGAAGCGGAGAGGGAGAGGGGGAGCGGTAGAGCGGGCCTGGGGCTAGCCATGGGGAGGCCGGGAGCGAGCCGAGGTTGTCTCGGGAAGTTTTAACAGAAGAACTGCTCCGCAGCGCAGGTACGCACCGGGGCAGGCACAGGCGAGCAGAGAGAGAAGGAGGGCACTCTCTCCCGCACTGAAGAGTCACAGACGTCCCTCTCTTTTTCCCAGCATTTTATTGGTGGCCGTTTCGTTTCCATCTCCTCCTTCCACCCCCGCGAGAAAACACACCACCCCCCTCCTCCTCCCCCGCCGAAAAAGCAGCACTAGCACTAGCCTGTATCTCTGGAAAAAAAGAGGGAGAGATTGAATGCACCTTTGAAATCTGCTCCAAGGCGAACGCCGCATCGCAGTAGCTTGGCCGCTGCAGATACTCCCGGTCGGGCGCCGCGGCGCGCCGATTGCCTCCGGTCCTTCGCCGCCTCCCGCCGCCGCTCCTCGCCGCCCGGCCGGGGTGGCCTCCGCCGCCCGCGCTGCTGCTGGTCTCCGGCTCCGACGCGTTACCGGCCGAGGCCATGTTGCCGCCGCCGGAGGGACGGGGGAGCTGCCGCTGGCGCTGCCGCGGCGGGGCCCGGGGCCCCGGGGGCGCGGCGGGGCCGCGGGGGGCTGGCGGCGCTGCGGGCCGCGGGCTGGTGCTGCTGCTGCGGGGGCTGCTGCCGCCACTGCTGCCGCCGCCGCCGCCGCCGGGGCTGGGGCTGCTGCTGGGGCTGCTGCGGCGCGGCCGCCTCACGCGGGGCGCGGGGCGGCGGCTGCCGCGGCCGCTCCGGCCGAGTCGCTCCCCGCGCCTCCCATTGCCACATCGCGCGCGGACCCCGAGCTGCAGGCGGCCGCTCCCCGCGCCCGGCGAGGGCGGGCGGGCGGCCGGGCGCGACTCCCAGGCCCCCGGCCGCCGCCGCCGCCGCGCTGTGCTCCGCTCCCGTTGAAATCGCCTCCTCCGGCCGGCCGCCGCTGCCTCCGGGAAGCCGCTGTCCGCGGCGGCGCTCAGCGACGGCGGCGGGGCGGCGGCGCGGCGGGCCGCGGCTGCTCCTGCTGCTGCTGGGCTGCCTCGCCGCGCTGCACCATCCTGCCTCAGCGCCGGGGTGCTTCCCGCGGGCCGCGGAACCCCGCCGCGGCGGCGGGCGGGCGGCTGCCTGGCGCTCTCCCCCGGTGTGTGCGCGGCAGCACCGAGCTGCAGCCCCTCGGCTCCAGAGATGAGATGAAGAAGAAAAAAAGGACTCTCTCCATTTGGATAAAGAGGAGGGGGGGGGGAGGTGGGGGAGTATGAGTGGAGAGAGAGCGAGAGAGGGAGAGGGAGGAAAAAAAAAAAGGGGCTGAGAGCCCGCCCCCGGGGCTGTCAGATGGCTTGGGTTTCTGCGAGGCGATTGGCTCGGGGAGGGCAGAAATTACTCAGCAAACATGACTATTATTAGCTGCTTAGCAACAGCTCACCAAAGTAGAGGGACCACCCAGGCCGGCAACCCTTGTGTGTGCATCTCCAGCTTCAGGGGGAGCCTTAAAGAGATCCCGTCTTCTTTGCATGCAATACTTCCATTAAGGAATGCCTTCTCCCCCTTTCTTCTTCGTTTTCTTTTCAAGAAAGTTTTTTTTTTGGTTTCGGTTGATTTTTTTTTTCCCCCGTCCGAGATGCTTGCAGACAAATACACGCGCGCACTTTTCTCGCGATCGACATACAAAAATACATTTTTCCCTTTTTTAAAAGAAAGGGAGGGAAACGGGGGGAAAGCAGCACTAAGCGATTTCTAAAGGCCTTAAAAGAAAATCCTTTTAGAGGCACCTTGGCCTCGAGCTGCAACAAATACTGGGAGGTCCGAGCTGAATTCCCAGGCTTGCAGGAATAATGACAGGGTGGTAGATACTGCGGTAGAAAGTGCCAGATTTTTCTCCCTCTCTCTTTAACTAAAGAGGAGACTTAGTTTCTTGCAAGAAAACCACTCCATCCAGTTAGAAAAACACAATGAAAACTTAACACTTGAGGGTTTTAAAGCCGCGGTAGCTAGCCTGTTTCAACTTAGGTCTCATTCTTTAACTGAAACCTGAGGAAAGCCAATTTTAATACGTTTCTAGTGTAAAAGTCCATGAAACGCAGCCTGCCTGGCCGCGCTAAACATTTCTTGAACTACACGCGATTGTTTACTTTTTTGGCACCGCTCCTCCTCGTCTCTGTTCATTGAGAATCAGCCATTAATTTGCTGCCTTTGGAGCCGCGCGCACCCGCCCCCAGCCGCGGGGCTGCGCGCCCCGGCCCCCATTGCGGCTCCCCGCGGAGGCAGCCCCGGGCCCAGGCGGACCCCCGTGCGCAGCGGCGCGGGGGGCGGCGGCCCCTCCGCTCCCTGCCCCCCCAGAGGGGGGACACTCTGGGGGGCAGCTCTCCGCAAGGACGGCTGCTGCCTGCCCGCGGAGCTGGGGAAGTGGCAGAGTGGTGAGAGAATGTGGAGGAAAGGGGGGGTGCAGGCGGCCCCGAGGTGCGAGGAGCAGCCCGGGCAGCCCCGGTGCGGTGCCCAGCTCGCCACACCCGCCAGCACCGCGCACCTCTCCCTTCAGCCCCGCCGCACGTCTGCCTGGGGCAGCGGTCCTGGGCAAAAGCCCTGAGCCCCGGCTCGCTGCCAGCGGCCTCCTCCCCTCGGCGGGGCTGCCGGGGCCAGCAGCGGGGCCCCCCCGCCGGCACCGGGGCCGGGCAGCGACCCGGGGGCCGGGGCGGCGGCGGGACCGGCCGTGCACAGCATCGGTCTGTCCGTGAGACTGCCCGGGGGCACCTACGGGCAGGGCCTTTCCAGGGCCATAGCCACCGCTTAGGGGGTCCCGTTTCCCTGTGTCCCACCTCCGTTTTTCCCACCTGCCTCCTTGAAGGCCCTGCTCTGTGCTCCGCACAGCAGTGTCTCCAGGAGAGCTGCTGGGAGCAGCAAAGCTGTCATGCACGCACACGTAGGGTGCATACATATGGGAGAAGGAAAGCTGAAGCAGTTGGAGCTGGAGGCTCTTCTCTGTTGGAGGCTGAAACCTGCACCTAGGGTGGAGTCGGCCACCTCCGAGTTTCCACTTGGGAAAGTGACCATCTCGCTAAGAACTGATGTGAGAACTTCTGCATCCTCTCAACCTCACCATGTGTTAAGGGGGTAGCACAGCTGGTGAATGGAGAAAGAAGGGATGGGTGGAGAAGCATTTTGGTTCAGCCTCCTAGCTGGCTCCAAAACCGAGGAAGAGTGTCCCTTCAAGCACCTCGAGACCCCAGAGCTGCCCTGCGTGTTTCCTGCCTGCTAGGCTTCACACAGTAGCCTAGCACCCATTCCCACTCGTGATTCCAAAACTCGATCTGAAGACTCAGATTTAAGAAGCCCTGTCTTAATCTCCCTTCTCTCCCTGTGGTCTGGAGGGTTTTTTTTTCTTTTCTTTTTTTTAAAGCATACACAAGAGATTAATTACTGCAGAGATCTAATTGGTCTTGTTTCTGGGATGGGGGGTTGTGTGTTGTTTTTTGGTTGGTTTTTTTTTTCCCTTAAGGAAGAAGTGTCAGTGTAAAAGTCTCCACTTGGGTGGTCAGAGCAGTGACTGCCCCCAGTCTGCCTCATAGCTGATGCCTGTGTGCTACATTCCTGGCAATAATGTTCCTAATCAATCTGCCCTTATTCACATTTGTAAGCACTGCTGGCTGTGATATGCATGCCCTCAGTGTGCAACTGCTCCTCCACACCAAGGACTTTTTCCATCTTAAGCAACTCGAAGGGATCTCAACAGATTTCTTATCTAGGACTTGCTCTGTGGTGAAGGCCTAGGAAGGTGTCTCTTTATGCAGAGTGGCTGCAGTCTACAACCACCATTAATACCGGTTCCTTTCAATGACTGGAGAGCCCATGCTGGTGTACAAGAATCTCAGCTTTGACTTTGGTCATAGTGGCTCCATTTTTTAATACTCTGCTTTTTAGGTCACCTTTGTGTTCATAACCCCCAGTATGGCAGAGCTTCACACTTCCTCCAGCCAAGTGACTTATCAAATCCAACTGAAGTTAACAATGGGGAACTGGTATTTACAGTGATTCTACTTTAACACAGTTTTTATCATGTTGCTCATCATGTGTGGACACACCACCAAAAGCATTTGCACTGCTGGAGCACCTGATTATCCTATCCAGAAATAAAGCTCAGGCACTTTAGCTTCCTTTTGTAGGGCCACAAGAGAACTGACCATGGAAGAAGACAGACTTGTGGAAAAATAACTTGATTTTGCCTATTCCCTCAAATTTCTGCCTCTTACACAGGTTTCCATTGCACAAGGGCACAGGTCTGCCTCGACCCTGTGTTCCACCCGCACACCTGACACTGGCTTTGACATGAGATCACAGATGACTCTCCGTTTGCAGTCGCGGTGCCTGCTGGCCCCTCGGCCGGCGGGGCTGCCGTCGGGGGGCGGCGGTGCTCAGGGGGCTGCCGTCGGGGGGCGGCGGTGCTCAGGGGAGCGGCGGGGCTGCCGTCGGGGGGCGGCGGTACTCAGGGGCTGCCGTCGGGGGCGGCGGTACTCAGGGGGCTGCCGTCGGGGGCGGCGGTGCTCAGGAAGGCGGCAGGGCTGCCGTCGGGGGCGGCGGTGCTCAGGGGGCTGCGGTGCTCAGGGGCTGCCGTCGGGGGCGGCGGTGCTCAGGGGCCGGCGGGGCTGCCGTCGGGGGGCGGCGGTGCTCAGAGGGGCTGCGGTGCTCAGGGGGCTGCCGTCGGGGGGCAGCGGTGCTCAGAGGGGCTGCGGTGCTCAGGGGGCTGCTGTCGGGGGGCGGCGGTGCTCAGGGGGCGGCGGTGCTCAGGGGGCTGCCGTCGGGGGGCGGCGGTGCTCCGCGGGGGCCGCTCCGCAGGGCAGCGCCGCCGCGCAGCCCCGCGCCTGCAGGAGGAGGCGGGCGGCCTCTCCCCCTCCTCAGCCGTAGAAGAAAGGGAACTGCTCGAGCCAACTTGTCAAAATAATGCGGCTAATTACCCCTGATCTCCTTTAATGGAAAGCTGCTCTGCACGCCACAAAGGAGCAAATGAGGGATCTACAGCACCAACCCAGGAGTGCTGGCATTTTCTTCCGCGGAGGGCTGCGGGGAAATGTGCCTCCAGAGGAGGCTTCGGCGTTTCTGTGCTCCTCCCGCGCACAGCGGACTCCCAGGGGAGGGCGAGAGCTGTGGAGGGCAGCGCCGGGAGCAACAGCCCGATCCCTCCAAAACCCGGAGGACATCCCAGCTCTAGCACACCTTGTCATATTCCACGAGGGGCTTTAGCTCTATAAACCCAAGGCGTCTTCAAAACAGATTCTTTTCCTGGCAAAATGCCCTGCCACTTGCAGGACACTACTGTGCATTGAGAGGGGAAAGTTACACTGAACCATTTTTAGCCAGTCTGGACAACACCGGGTCTGTGTAAAGACAGCTCAAATCTTGCATGTGCCAGAAGGCAGGGCATTCACTTTCATGATCTCTGCCATCGGGCCTTGCAGAAAAAAAAGCTGAGCGACACAATCTCTTTGACCCACTGCTGGAGCAACAAATTTATTAGAGATATAGGCGTGAGAAATGAAAAGGAAGTAAAACAATTCAGGCTCATTGTA